AAGTGCTCTTGATGTTTAACAATGTTGACCCTCAAAGTTCTCCAAAAAATATGAGGTAGACTCTGGCTGTTTCTCTAGAGAAAATAATGCCAGATCTATACTCTGAAATACCGAGTTTTCTGCTGGGCTGTTGGGGTCCACTCCAGCTAGCCATAGACCCTTGCCCACACGATACTTCATAGACAAAGGTAAAAGATTGAGAAGCGCTCTTCTCCATATGGTAAACGTTCTCCCTTATTCCAAGAGACACACCAGGTGGACAAACCCGTGGGAGAAAGAGGGCGTTTCCTGGTGGCAGGGAACGTTTATACCCTGGGGATGGGGACAGAGGAAGATGCCTACAGCCAATGGGATACCAGTGAGGAGTGGCTAGGGGAGGGTCTCTTCACTCAGGAAGAGACCACCAGGGGATACTGGGGTGGGTGAGGGAAAGACCATGTGATGGGGGAAAGGGATAACAAACCATGTGATATAACATAAGCTATACAGTGCAATATAAAACTATTCTGTGCAAATTCCCAATCACCCCGTGCAAAAGAACCACTAAATTAACTAGTGCACCACAACACCACTGAAAACTGGAAAATTAAGGTTAGGGACAGGGTGGTTCATTAATGATAAATCATCATGACACTCTTTTATTTGCAGGGAAACTAGAAAGTTTCTCTTCTCAGGTGTATCAAGGTCTTCAGGAGGAAATGATTGCACACACAGTTGCTGAGTCTGCTACAGATAATTATAATCTGTTTTTTCCACTGAAGTAAACTCCCTCATCCTTTTGCAGTTCAACTCAGGTGATAGTTTTCAACACTTACATCATCATCATAAAAAGGAGTGTCCAAAGTCCTGCAGGGACTGGGAGGGGCAAGCAGCGGGCATCAACTCTGCCTCCTGCCCAGGAACATCAACAGCACCTGGCAGGTGATAAGCAGCATTCAGCCTGGGTAGGGGCAATATCCAAGCAGCAAAATCAGTTCTGCAGCAGTTCCAAGCAGGTCCTGAAGCAAAATAAATCCACTGAATTTTGAAATAGACTTCTACTTGAAAGAGAAAAGTTAGCATGGAGGAGAAGCTGGGAGAATCAAAAGGGTTGCCAGTGTGGGCTGCCCTTGCAGAGTGAAGAGGAAACATCATCCCATCCCAAGCCATCTCATCACTGCTGCCATTTGAGGGAACCCAGGAACACTTACCCTTGGAGCAGATCCAAAGAAGGGGAGTGACTGGCCCAGGCACCACAAGGATTGAGGGATCCCCAGCAAGGAAGCGTGGGGAGCTCACCCTGTTCCCTGCACCCTCACACAGTCCTCTGGGTCAGATCAGTACAAGGATTTAGCTGCCTACAAATGCAAATCAGGCGCAACGTGGTGTTTCCCAAAGCATTTGCATCTCAGACACCCACATATTCCTAAAACTCTCCCCTTCCGCCTATGCACTCTGCGTTAGTTTCTTCACTTCTAAAATGGATATGGTAATTACCCGCCTCTCTGGCAGCAGCAGCAGGAGAGGAGATACCTGCTCTGCTGCCATTACCTCCACGGTGGCAGCACCACATCCCCTTCCCATTCCCCCTCTGCACCACGTGCCAGGCAATGCTGGCTACTCCATCAGCACCTGCAATTTCATCTGGAGACTTTGGGAGAGGAGAGAAATGCCAGCTCTGCATCCAGCCCTGTTTAAGATGATGTTTTGGGATGATGTTTCCTGACCATTACCTCAATATCTTCAGGTTCTGCCTCAGGAAAACTTCAGGCTCCCCAGACCAGCAGCACATCTAATCATTGTGTTTCACACACACAGCTGCTGGCAGGCATGTGACTGGCACTTGCCAGAAATACCATGGGGTCATGAGCGTGCACTGCAGGGAAATGAAATCTGAGTGGGTGCCTTTCAAGGAAACCACAAGCCTTTGGGTGCCCCAGCAGTCACACAGCTCAAGAGAATCAGTCCCCTGTGTGAATTTTTTGCAGTGTATTTTTCCTGCACTGTCAGCCTTTTGTACTTCCCCTTCATAGCTAAGCCATGTCTTCATCTCTTCTTGGCAGTGCTCATTTCTCACAGTAAGAGAATATCATCAAAACCTAAGAATAACAAACAGAAGTGTTTTTTTGCCAATCAGCATAAAGCAATCTCACATAAAACTGACCTTCTGGATAGCGCTTTATGTTCTATTTACTCAAACATAAAATCCTATTTTCCTTTAAATAGGAAAGAGGGAAGTGTACAGACAAAGGGGTTCCACTTCAGGAACACAGAATTACAAAGAGAGTTCATCAATTCAGTTTGCAGGCTGAGCGCAGCAATTAAAATATCACAACACAAGCAGGAATCTATATGCTCAAGCAAACACTCCAGCTGATCATCCACCTACTTCAGGCAGGTAATCCATCAGGTCTGGCCACTCCGACACTTTTGAAAACTTGTGCAAATAAAAGCAGTAGGCAGTGCAGCAAGTTAGACCTTGAGGCAGGTGCATTGGCTTGTTGGCAGAGCAACATACCTGACCTAAAAGCTTGCAGGTCAAAGAGGGAGCCCTCAAGACTGAGCTCACAGAGTAGCACATGTGGCAGGGTCATAGTCTTAAATTCCAGGTGCTCAGGTGCTTCTAAACATCTCAGACACAAAAGGTACCACCAAAGCAGCAATGCAGCAAGCATGAGGATGCAGCTCCCCTTGGCTGCAGTAGATGTGGCCCATTCCATAAAGGCTCTCAGGGAGGTGCAGAGTGTAGTACGCTAAATTAGCAGAAACACTGCAGCACACTTATTAATGCAGCTGGTGAGCTGCTGGACTCACAGAAATTCCACAGAGCATGGTGGAAATAAACTCTCCTCAGCTGCAGACCTGTTTGCTCATTCCAGCTCTGATTTTTCCATTCCAGCTCTGATTTTTCATCCATGTCAGGCTCATCCTGAAATAGGGAGCACCATATGGTGATGGTGCAGTGGTCCTGAGCTTTTTGCCACAAGCCAAACACAGAACAGCCCTGGAGTTTTAACCCAGCCCATGGTGCTGCCTCCTGGGTGTCTGCTACCAGTGTTTTTTTCTCATGTGAACACTCAAAAAACTGTTTGGTTTCTAACCATGCCAAGATACACAAAACCATTGGAAGATACTAACAATGGAGAGCTGAGCTGTAGTGATTAATAAAGACACCAGATCCTTCAGACTTTCCTTAGGAAATACAGCAGAGACCTGAGTCACCGGCTGCTCACAGTATTTGCTGTAGCAGTGGCACTCAGCAGCACCTTGCAACACCTCTGCTGGCTCGGCCACCTCGCCTGCCTGGGAGTTTCACTACAGCCTATGAGAGTTATGCTCCAAATTATTCTGGAGGATTGAAAAATTGCCCAAACCAGTGTTTCTTGACTAGCAGACTGGCTTGTGGAGTATGTGCTTCAAATCTCATGCCATGTGGAGGAATGTCAGGGTACCCAGACCCAGGAGTCACATGAAGAAAGCCACAAGAGGCCTGGTCATTAAAAGGTCTCAGGGATTAGCTGCTAGGCAGGATCTTTCTTCTATTTGCACAGTGTCTGAAACATCCCATGTTCATAAGTGGGTGCTGATGGAAAGAGAGTGAGAAACAAGGCATGCACTGCCCAGCCTCTCTCTTGGCGGGTCATCTTTTTCAGAAATTCTTCTTTTTCCTATAAGGTGTACATGCATTTGTGCTCACAGATAGCTTATCTGTCCAGTTCATCCTCAGCCCTGGGCCTCCAGCTGCATGCACTGCCTGCTGATCAGCAGCAAACCTGCAGGTTCCCTTGGGCAAAACATAAGGGGAAAAAAAAAAAGAACATCAGGACTACAAGGGGTCTGAGGTCAATGGGTCTCCCAGCAGACAGCCTGCCCACTACCTGGCAACTCCCACTGCAAATACCCTTGCAGCAGAACCTGCTTTTCCTTAACCAGCCACAGGAACAGACTTGGGCCAGAGAAGCAAGTGACAAAATTCCTGCTCATTTCAATGAGAAGCAGCAGGCCAAGCTCCAATGCTCCAGATATTCCTGCCAGACACCAATGCAGATTTTTTTCAAAGCTGGTTCCTGTTGTAGTAGAAGACACAAAGCTGGCTTCTTCTGGCATCCAGAAGACTCTCCTTAGAGAGAAAGGATAATTAAAGACTTTGGTAGTTATTTGTGCAGCCTGGTCTTATGCTGCTCACTCCTCTCACAAATGACAACCACAAGCACGGTGGAGGTGGCTAGGGCAGAGGCAGAGCCCTGAGATGGGTCTGGCTCAGCAAATGCTGCCTAAGACTTACCATGGGCCAGGGCTCAAACTTCTTCAACATCCACCCCTCCTCAGTGTTAGCTCCTGTTTTGCTGACAGTTGCAGCTGTGGAGAGCCTTTTGCTGATTCACAGGCTTTGCAAGCGTTATTATTAGCTTATGGAGATGAAATGGCTGTTGATTTGAAAAGATTTGGTAGAAAACCAGGGCAGGGTGACCTGAAACTGGGAGGATTTCATTTTCTTGATGGCAAATGTCAAGCCCATCATGCTTTGCCTATATGCACATACAAGCTGATGAGGATTAATGCATGAGAACTATTGCCACTATTAAAACAGCAGCACCCTCCCCCTGAAGAAAAAACGAGAGAAAAAAGAAATCCTTTTACATGGATCCCCCTCCCCCTAATAAACAGGAAGCTAGGACCTGGGGGTGACAGTTCTGGGGGATAAGGGAGTGAGGATGATGGTCACTGACATGACGTGTCCACCTGCTCTGGCTGGCTGTGTTTTATTATGCAATATTGTCTCCTTGCAAAAATGCTCAGTGTCTTTATCCTCCATCTTCCACAGTCATCTTAATCCTTCAGAGCAAGACCTCTTGTAGTAGTAGGTGGGAAATGGAGTCAGATGTTTCCTGAACTGTCCTATAAAATTTCTCTGCTAGAGGGTTTAAGCAGCACTGATGCCATGGGAGAAACAGCAGGAGTGGCTACACAGTCCCTCCACCACCTCAGCAAAACAGTATAGGAAACCAAAGAGAATAATATATTCTGTAACAATTTATTTGCACAAATCATCCAACTCCAGAAGCAAATCGGATTGCTTCCTTGGTACCTAATTAAGTTGATTTGCTCTTCCTCAGACACATGGGAGTAGGATTGGTTGCTGTCACAGCCTTGACAGACTTTTCAGGACTCCAAACAGATTCCCACCTGGCTCCCTGTGTGGGTATCAAAGGGAAGGATTGCTTTTAGTAGCTGGTCCTTGGGAAACACTCCTTGACCAACCACTGCACCAAGAGCTCAGAGCTGAAGTCCCTGCTGGTGTGGCACCCCAGGGTCAGCATTTGGGCTGGTGCTGTTCAGCCTGGGCTGTGCTTGACACACCAATCCAGCTCTGCATCCTCCTGCCGAGGGAAACAAGAGCGCTGCAGTGCTCCAGGCAGGCTCATGCTCAGCTGTATGCATCTGCCTGATGGATTCAGCCTGCGGAGCTACTCACACAGCTCTCCTGAATTTCTGCTCATCTCAGTGAAAGAAGAGACATCAGCAACAGAGCTGACAGCTGAAGCCAGACCTGTTCAGATCTGCTGCCACTGCCAAGCCTGGTTCAGGAATCTCTCTCTGAATTTCCATTTGGACCCACAGAATTAGTTTCAGTACAAGAGGGCAGCAATAACGCACCTAATTTGTTTCACCCTGGAATACACTGTCATTTAAAAGCCTGGAATATTTATTGTCGGCAAAGAGATATTGATTGCTTAGCCACAGGCAGAGTAAAAATCATTGAGGGGGAAAAAAAGAACAAGCAACAAAACAAACCAGCAAAATTGCTCTGGTGGCTTCCTTCCACACTAGTGTGCGATGCACTGCCTCAGTTTTTACTGCCTTCCAGCATCCCTCAGCCCTCACAATCTTCCAGGGCACAAAAAAATGGCCTTTCCCTTTGAATTTATTGGAGAATGGATTCCAGCAGCTCCCGGGCACTTTATCACCTTCCTGCAGGGGAACATAAAACAGGGCCCTTGTCTCTGCCTGTGCCGTAGGAACAAATAAATAAGGGCAGCTCCCTGCAGCTCCGCCACCGGCTCATCCACGCGCAGGAGCTGGCTGCATTGTACCAGCGAGCTCCAGCTGCGCAGTTCAGAGCTAGCTCGGCTCTGAACTGCCCACAGCCCCTGGATGTTTGGAGCCAGTTATTTCCTTCTTAGGGTTTGTCCAACAGGAAGGCTGTTCCCCACCCCTAAAACCTGGTTAAAAGCTAATGGTCCATTGTGGTTCCTGTAAAAGATGGATTTCCCTGCTAATGGGGGCTGCCGGCTTTCTTGTGGTGGCGGCGATTCCAGCGCTGCTTGGACGCTGCAGTTGGGTGCATGTGGCCGGAGTGGTTTCCTTTCAGCAAATTGCATTTTAATAGCCTGAGGACAATCGCTCTCCTCACTGGGGTGCTGCAGTGGCCCTGTGGCAAGCCTCGCTGTCGCTCCATTTGCCACAAAACCCCTCGCGCTGGCTTCCTCGGTGGCCTGGGCTCCGGCACAGCGGCACCGGCGCCTTCTGGGGCAGCTGTGGGGCAGCTCCACACAGGGACTCACCGGCAGGAGAAAGTGCGGCTGGTCCTGCGGGCAGTGGCCTGGCCATTCCCTGGCATGGGGGCTGGGATAAAACCTCCTGGGCGAGTGCGCAGTGCTGCAGGGCTCAGAGAATTGCCGTGAGGGCAGGCGAGCCGCCTCACCGCTGCTGGCCAGAGCCCGCTCCAGCCCCAGCGCAGAGATGGCCGCGCTGCCTCCCTCAGGCCCCGGGGAGAGGCAGGGTGGCGCCGGGCCGCTTGGTGAGATAAAGCGGGGCTGTCCCCCTGCACCGGCAGCCAGGCCTCTGTAATCTGTCCCCTGGCACCCATCCATGGCCATCCCAGCACAGCTGGGCACGAGGATTGCAGCCATGCAAGGTGACTACGGCCGCGCACAAAGACTGAGGCCAAGCATGAGGGTTGCAGTGGTGCAGCCGCTCCAAAAAGCCCAGGCATCGGCAGAGTGAGAGACTGAAATGTCAGCAAGGTCGTGCTGGCATCCAGGGGAGAGCAAGATCCCGGCACAGCCACGCTCCCCGCTGCTCTTCCCAGCAGCCTCTTTGCTGGAGTGAGAAGGACGCAAATTAGCGCCTCCGTGGGTCTTTGCCACCCACCTCTGGAGATAGGCTAGGCGTTCCTCAAGGTTTTGATTATTCTAATTTTTTTGCCTGGTTTTAAAGGGTGAAAAAAAATAACACAAGGTGCCACCCGTATTTCCAAAATAAGAAATGTGGACTAACCTGTCAGTTCATTCACAAGGGACAATTTGTTGTGTTCCCATCAAGACATCCTATTTATTTTTTTTTTATAAGTACTGTCTTTTCTCAGCGTAACCTTATTGATTATTCTTTTCCAAAAGCTTTAGATAATTATTTGGTTCAACATTTATCACTTAAAGAGTAATTCATGTGCTAATATGCATAATCCAACAGCACAGTTTAATTGCAAGATCTTAGCACTGCAGTTGAACTGCATTGTTGGGTTTAATTTCTCTTATTCTTTTATGGGCTCTAATTAGCCCCATGCAAAAACAGACTTTCTAGATGTTAGCAGCTCTGAAAGCCTTTAGCAAAAGCTACTGGGGTTCAAGTGTTTTGTTCTACTAAAAACACTGAGAGAACATGAACGTGTAATTTCACTTACAAAAGTATTTCAGAAAGGAAAGTGGTTTGGAGTCAGGCTTTTAAAAATAACTATTTTAGGAAGTTAAAGCATTTTACAAAACAAAAAGTCATCATCCCTCAAGTCTGTCTCTGCAGTGAAACCACCACCAGCTACTGAAATGTTTGTGCTGGTATTTTCAAAATTTGGGGGGAGGGTATGGATTTCTCTTCTTGCCTTAGCATCACTAAAAGGAATAGAAATTGAAAGTACACAAGGTAAACCATCTGCTTATGAAAGACCTGAGCAAGGGCTTTGGGTGCCCCAGTGCCCCAGATCATGTCTGGGCTTCCCAGTCATGCCATGCGAGACCGCGTCTCTGCTGTAGATGTAAGATTTTTTCCACAAACAGAATAGTAGCATTTTCAAGACAATCTCAGTCTAAAGCAAACAAACGTGCTTTAAGGATCCTAAATTCTATGCAAGCTCACTTGTCTAAAGTACACAGGGGCTTGGGAGTGCTACTGATGCCTCTGGGCTTTTTAGAAGCATCTAAACAGAGTGAGGACATGGTGTTTATCCTTAGGTCCTGTGAGACAATGAGATGCAAGATACTTTTGTGATACTTCTGTAGTCTGACAGCAGCCATGGAGTTGGCTGTGACTTGGATGTGGTGCTTCCTTGCCCTGAGAGAGGACAGTGAGGGAGGACAACTGAGCGCTCTGGGGCAAGATGGATTTACTCTCTGCTGAACTCCAGAGCTCTTGCTCACACCCAGCACGCTACAGACTCCTCACAAGCACCAAGACAACTTCTTTCTTTCAGCCCCTCTGCTTCTGCCTGCGTGAGAAGCTGTGTACCAGGGAAGCACTGGCTGCATGCAGATCGTGGAGGGCTCTCATTTCACCACCTGACACATAAAAGCAAAAAATAAAGAAGTCAGAAACATTATCACCATGGAACTGTTCTGGATGAATTTCATCTGAGATTAAAACCAAACCAGGAGCATTTTCAGCATGGCAGGCATTTTCTTTAGCTTCCAGAAAAGAAAAACATGAGTCAACAGGCTAAAGAAATCTCAGAAACAGGTGGTGAGAGACACTGTATGGAGTTCAGTATTTGTGCAGTTGCTCTGGTTCTTACATAGGCCTGTGTTAAATGAACCAAAATACCACTCTGTTTTTGTGGTTGACATATATATACTGTCTTACAAGCAATGGGCATCTACCATAGCTATGCTGCAGTGATGGTTATTCATTTAATAAGACAGTCTCTTAAATCTCCTCTCTATAACCTTTAAGAAAATCACAGCGTGACCAAATAATCTCCTTTCTACTACTTTTAAGAAAATAAAATTAAGAAAAAAACACAAAAACCCACAACATTCTTTTGGGCTTGGTTGAGGTGGGCTTTTTTCTGGTTCTTCTGGACATCAAAGAGAACAAAATTAGGAAAATCCTTGAGTCCAACTGCTTCTGTATCCCTCCTAACTGAACTGCACAGGAGCCTGTCTCTATATCACTTTCAAGCTGCTTTAGCTAAATTGCTTCAGGATACAAGAGGTTAAAGCACCCTGCTGGGCAGAAATCTTTTACTTTAAAGGTCTAGCAGTCTTTCTCTTAATCTGCAGAGTGGAGCTGTGATCATACAACAGCTAAAGTCATGAGCTTGTTAATGCTAAAATGACAGATGTTATAACAACAGGATATTTATTAAGTTTCCCATTACCCTGCTGGGTTGTCAGACCCCGATTTCTTTCTAAGACTGCTTTTTGGTTTTTAATAACCAAAAGTTAACAGAAGTCTGTTTCCAGCCTTCTAACAAGAAGTCCTGTGAAAGGAAAAAAACTAAAAAGAAAATATTTATAAACTCTCTGTCTCAGCTTGACTCCTGTTACAGGAGGAGGCAGTACTACTAATTCTGTCTTGTCTTTCTGCCTCCATGTTATGGTATAGATTGTTTTAGAGTATGTATAGTTTTAACCTTTTACCTAAACACTATGCAGCATTGCATGAAAAGTCAGAGTCCATGTGATTCCGAAGTCCTGGAGACTTTAGTACCTATTAATTATTTAGTGAAGCACTGCAAACTCTCTTGTGGTGAGTGTTTTTCCTCATTGCCAGATTAGAAAGCATCCAGCAGCCCTGCCTGGAGGATACCTACCTCTATGATCAGTGCTATGCTGGGAGGAGACAACTCCTGCCCAAGCAGGACTTGGAAGTTACTGTGGAAAAAGCAGACAGCCTAGAAAAGCCACGTGCACAAGAAAACAAGAAATAACCAGGTTTAAGCAGTTATTTCTGCATAAATTGGGTTCCAAGACTCATTCATCAATTCTAAACTCAGTAAAGTGTTAATCCCAGAACAACTGGAGCGGCAGCCCAGTATCAGAGTTGTTACAACTCTGTGCCCTTTCCACCCCTTACTCCCTTCACACCTATGCCACACATGCTCTGGATGTGGCGGCCTTTCCTATAGGCTCAGGGAAGTTTCAGACATTGAGGGCTGGGCAATGCTGTGCATGCATTTGTAGGTAGGTGAGTGTTGTGTGACAGGAGCTGCTCAGAGCACAGATTACCTGGCCTGCATGTCCCAGCTCGTGGCAGTCATGCTCTCACTTCTCCCATATGCTGTGGCCCTAAAATTGATGCAGCACAGCCAGGATCAGCCAAGAGCAATCCAGGCCTCTCTGAGGAAGACTGCTAGTTTTCCATCCCTCAGGTTGGGTCAGTTTGCAGTCTGACCCAAGAGAGGATGGCTTCCTTCCTTAGCACAGCTGTAGTCCTGCTGGATGCTTCTTGAGATTTCTACAAGTCACCCCCCATATCTATTTCTGAGGCCATCCTTAAACTGAAATTTTAGCTTTCGGGGGAATCTGAAATCCATATGGAGATAAGACCCCTCAGAGAACTACAGCTTCTACTGTGGTCACATTTGCAAGTCTCAGTGAGTACTTTGTATTTCTTTAAGCAATATTTAGCAGAGTTTGAGGGATGAAAAGCATGACAGAGGTCAGAGCCCTGCATGTGCTATGAACAGAGAGCACTTTTCACCTGTCAGAGATCCCAATAAAAGGCAGGCTCTTATATTCATAATCTACTTATCAGAGATGAAAACTGAGATGTAAAACATGCTCTAAGGGGTCCTGCAGCAATTATTACCATCCTATTCAATTTACTTAGTAAACATCTTGGACTTATCAAAAAGCACATCAGTGAAATTTCAATGAATATTAAGTTTTCCTCCTCTACATATGAGTGGCTTTGTTTGGGGTTAGTCACAGATACAGAAAGTAAAATTAAAAAAAAAAAAAAATTTTAAAAAAACCCCATAAAACAAAACACACAAACAAACAAAACAACCTGACCAAAATCCAAGAGCCCAACTTTTTAACAAAGACTTAAAGTGTTGAGAATTAATCTAGCCTTATCTTCAACACATTCTTCCACATTTCCAGGTCTTTGATATCCTCCGTCCAGCCCAACTTGGTTCAGTCTTGCACTCCTACTGAGCACAGGAAAACACAGTGTCACTGGCTCAGCCAGCCAGCATGTGGCCCCTGAAGGCATTATCACAGGAAGATACCCTGAAGCCAATTGGGTTAAGACATCTCCCTTCAAAAAGAATCTGTCAGAACAAAGTTCCTGTCAGAACCAAGTTGTTTGAAAAGTAGGAGGGTCATATTTGGGTAAAACCCCCAACAAACTCTCACGCTATTTAAAAGAAAGATCACATGTACTGGAAGGAGTAGCTGAATGATGTACAGTCCAGAATTGCATCTATCATGGTCTCCACTCCTCCCCTGCCTTACTTTAACTGGCTGGATAAATCAGTGCATAGGACAGGATCTAATCTGGTATTTATGGAATAAAGTCACCATCACATCACCAGTATCTTGAAGGATTCGTTTTTTCAGAATGCTATGTATAGTACAGGCCAAAATGCAACTCAGGAACAGATACATTTTCTTATGTATCACTAAAGCAGCTTCTCCTTTCTGAAGTTCAAGCAAATCTTTTTCCATCCCAATTTATTGCTGTGGTCCCTGTTTCCACAGTACATTCTACAGCCACTCGGAGCTCTGCAGAGTGCTGAAGTACTTGTTAGTGGCAAGTGACCTGCTACCAACATTGTCTCGTTACCTCCACTTTTTATGAACTGACACTTCCTCTCTTTTTAGCTGATATTAAAGAAAAATAATATGTTAGCAAAAATTGGACAGGTTTTTGGAAA